GTCATCCCATGTGTGGTCATTTGTTATGGTATTTCTTAAAAACTAACTCATAAGAACCTGGGATAATGTTCTTTTCTAATATTGACACAGGCTGATCAAAGTGGTAACAATTAGTTTCCTTATACACAGTTCTTGAGCCCAATTTTAAAATTTTCTCAGGATAAAAGCAGTAAGAGTTCCTTTAAATATACTTTAAAGGAAATCTGCAACTGATGGGTGTGGGGAGGTGGGGGAGGCACATCTCAAAGACATGACAGAAACCTGGGATAGTAGAGGCACCCGAGAATCAATGAAGGTGACCTTAGCTGTGACTCACAGCATTGGGAATATGGAACCTACAGAAGTCACCTCCCATAGCCAGGAAGGAACTCCAGTGGAGCAATATGGACACCAAACCATCCACAAAACTTCTGATCCCAAATTTATCCAGTCTACAAGAAAAGCAGGGATGGGGAATGGAGCAGATGCTGAGGAAAATGGTCAACCAATAACCCCAATAACTGGCCAAACTAGAGAGCCATCCTATGCCCAGTCTAGCAATCCCATCCTCTGAGAGGCTCCCCCAGCAGCTGACTCAGATGGATGCAGAGATCTACAGCCATACAGTGGATGGAACCTGGGGATTCTTACAGAAGAATAGGAGGAAGGCTTGCTACCTGGAAGGGATAGGAACTCCATAGGAAGACCAACAGGGTCAACTAACCTGCATCCTTGGGTCTCTCCGAGACTGAACCACCAACCAAAGAACATGTACAGGCTGGGCCTAGCCCCCCGCCATACACACATATGTAGCAGATGTACATTTTGGTCTTCATGTGGGTCCTGAACAGCTGGAGCAGGAGCTATCCCAAAAGCTGTTGTCTGTCTGTGGGATATGTTCTTCTAGTTGGGCTGCCTTATCTGACCTCAGTGGGAGAGGATGTGCCAAGGTCTGAGGATACCCAGAGGGGCCCCCATCCAGTCAGAGGAGAAGGGAAGAGGGGATGGGGGAAAGATTATGGGAGGGGGTAACTGCAAGGGGCAGTAGGTGGGATATAAAGTGAATAATTAGAAAATAATAAATTAAAAAGATATTTAAAATCCCCCAGAGTTAAGGTAAATAAGTCATCAGTGTCTGGGATTATATATATACATACATATATATATATATATATGCAAAAAGAACTGAATCTGATCCTCAGCACCATAAAGAAGTCTTTCTGATGGCAAAACAAAGACCTTTATTATGTAATTAGGTTCAATGTTGATAAGGAAGAGGTGCCTTACATTTTCCAGGTGGGCCCAAGCTAATAAAAATTTCTCCTTAAGAGAGGATGTGATCAGAAAGAGACTGTTGTGGACAAAGCTGGGGATACAGTTCACTGTTAGCTCTAAAACAAAGGCAGCTACCAGCCAAAGAAGGGGTGATGCTTGTGAAAGAGCCAGAGATCAGCTTCTTTTCTAGAGTTGCCTAAAGGAGTTCAGGTCAGTGATGCTTCTGGTGGCTTTCTAGCACACAGAACTGTAATAACATAAAGTTTTGTTGTTTTAAACTACCATAAGTATAATAGCTTATATCAGTACCAGAAAACTAACACAAATGCTGTAAAAAAAAAAAAGCGACTTTATTCCGCTTATATCTGTCATTAGCCCATATCGTAAGTATTTGGTCTCCCAGTTTCTGACCTTTACATGAGTCCATACTCCAATTAATCACACAAAGATGTCCAAGTAATTATTATTTCACTGTATGCCAGGATTTAATATCACTCCACTTGATGTCTTCAACAAATTCTTTGTTTTTATGTATAAGACAATCTAACTATAAAAATCCTATCCATGTGGCAACAATATAGAAACTCATCAAACACTTATATAAAGGACCAGAAAAAAGGACCACATATTTTAGGAACTGAAGGTTATTTCGTCTAGTCACAAATGCTTAGCTTTGTTCTTAAGATAAGGAAGAGGCTGCAGGTGTTGTGATTTACTGCTATCTGAACCAGAGCTCTACAGAAACTAGCCTGAGGCAAGGTTCTTCTACTAATATTTCATGAAAAATAGACTCTCTGGGTTGCAGTACTGAAGGGAAGGGAAAGTGAACCAGAAGCAAACTGACTCAAAATTACGCTATCCATTCTTTCATGGGGAGAGTCAGAAAAGACACATCAATAATTATTTGGCAGGTGTTTCATCAGTGTGGATTTGTGGCCTTGTCTCTAAATCATGACTTAGAACAACCCAACTAAAGGGACGAGAATAATTCATTCCCTGTCTCCCGTCTGGCATTTGTTAAAGTTGTTCCATAGGAAGTTAGCTCATCTTCACAAGAGAGTCATGTCATTTGACCCCTGTGGAAGTTTTTAGAAAAGGCACAAGGTATGCTTTAAACTGTGTAATACCTTGTGAATCCAGAACTACTGAGATGAGCCAGGGGTGCTAGGTACAGCTGGTGAGCTTCAGGAAGCAGTACTGTAAGAAGTTGATTGACCCTGCCAAGCTTGAAGTATAGCAAGGAAGTGTTTGGGAGACACCCTGACAGAATCTAAAAGGCTGCCCTTGTTATTATAGCCCGTATAGAAGCTTCTAAGAAAATCAGCACCCTTTGCTGTTTGACACGCCAATATTCAAGTTTCTTAGAAATAGTGTCATGGAGGAAAGAGATTCTAATTTTGACTATGATATTATCTTGCTTCCATAGGAACCCTAACAACAGTACTTTGTTTCTTACATCACTACCAAGCCTCCAAGGAGAGGCTTTCCACATCAAGTTTATCCAAGAAGCATTAAAGGAAATGTTTAAATAAGAAAATCTATCAACATATTAAACAAATTAAAACAAATGCTTAACCTGATGCATGCAGAAACCTATCCAACCAAATTCAACACTATTTATAATTTAAAACTCTCAATACTAGAAATACATGGAATATTTTTGTTCTTATTGTGTAGGGGATTAGAGAAGGGGTGGGGACAGAATACAGGGTCTCAACTTGTTTAAATCTTCAAACCCAGGAATAAATCATTTATAATCAATAATGTGCTAGATCCTGATCATCAAAACATAAGATACATATAACTATGTTGGAAAGGAAGAAAACAAGTTGTCTACATCTGTTATACTGTCATAAATAATTCACACCAGAGAATCTAAGGACAGACACTAAAAACAAATCATTTAATGACACTGCCAGGTTTTTTTTTTAAAAAAATAGTATTTTATATACAAGAAATAATTAGCTATTATCAAACGACCTTAACAAAAATTAGGTCAAAAGGAAGCAATATGATCTCAGCAGGAAAAGGCACCTGCAGCTGAGTTGGATAGCCTAGGTTTGAGCCCCAGAACTTATATAAGATAAGACCAACTTTACAAACTGTCCTCTGACCTCTACACACACGTGTACATGCACACACACACACACACACACGCATGCACACACACACGCACACATACACACACAGACACACAATGTAAAAAGTTATCAGAACAGGAATCAATCTAAAATAGTATATGGAAAAGTAATCTAACAAAAGAGATTGCATTTTATTAAAAATTACATAAAGTTCTCTAAAACATGAAAGAAAATCAAATAAATCATTCCATAGATGAAACTTGCAAATAACTGAGAAACTTGTATTTAAATATACAAAAAAAATCACTATGTCAAAGCAGCGTGAAATAATTCATGCAGAAGTTAAATTCGAATTATAAGATATAAAAACTTAAAATTGATAGAAAGGTAGGATTATGGTTTTTGTCAAGAAAGGAAAGACTTATTAAACAAAAAGTACAACCAAAAGATTAACAAAATTAAATTTAGTTAAAAACAAAACCCTGGTCTATAAGAAGGTAAGGTTTTATGGGCAATAGACTAATCTTGCCGAGCAACACATTAGTCTTGGTGTACTGGCATCAATATTCATTTATTTATAATCCTTTTCAATTGTCAATACACAGTCACCATATACTGCATTCTTTCATAAAAACTTGGATAACATGCAAAAAGGAATACCATTTACCATTTTCCCCAGTACCATGTCTAGTGCCCTCGAAGATTTGTACAGATCTATTCAGGCTTTTGTTCAGGGTATATAGTATACACATACTAATACAGATATATCATTCTCATAGTTTTATACCACATTGTTCTAGAATTTTCCTTTTAAAATGTGCCTTAGTTAAGTTGCTATTATGTGTGTATCAACATTCATTTAGTTAACTTTTGGTTAATAGACATGTTATTCCTTATTTACATAAATAGTATGGATATCTGAAAGGATTATTCAGGCCAAATGATTTAAAACATATGTCCTAAATGATTATAATACTGTTTTCTGTGCATATACACATATACAAATATATGCATATCTAATGCACATTGTGAAATAATCAGAATGGTTTTATAATCTGATGACGTGCTATCCACATCTGGTCTTTCCCACTATCTAGTATCATTATTTCTAACATTTTTGGTCTGATGGAAGAACGGTATACCTGTTTTTCTTCGACTGCCAGTGATGGTATTTCCTCCTCACCCCAGGAGAAACTATATCTGCACTTAACTCATTTTGGGGAAAAAAAAGTTGCTTCATTTGCTTTTTAAGTACCTAGAACAATTTATTTTTAAAATATTTTTATTTTTTGAGATTACAATATAATTACATCGTTTCCCCCTTTCCTTTTCCCTCTAACCCCTCCCAGACACATGACTAATGACATAGTCATATTATTAAGTTAATCATATAACATTTAGAAATAAACGCTGCTCTGCTACCTTCTCAACAATGCAGATTTAAGTATCAGTTTTACTGCTGAGTAAACTAAAAACTTAGAGCATTATTAGCAAGAGTATTTCATTTACTTGTTCACTTGCTCATGCATACCCTCAACAAGTATTATTTTCAGATGCCACTGAATGCTACCAACTAATTGGGATTTTAAATCTCAAAAAAATAGTATAAAATAACTTTTTCTAAAAGTGGGAAAAACAAAAGTGAGAATAAGGTAGCATACTTACTTTTCCTTCATCTCTTGGGCTATCACTTAAATGTACAACTGGGCCTGGATGAGTCTTGGTGGATCTGTTAAATCAATTCAGAACAATAATTTAAAACTAGGCAACAGAAAATAGCAAAGAAGTTAAGATTAAGCTGTAATACACTCCCAGACTAGTAGAGCTAAGCTCCAATTTGCTTGAAATTTCAGCTTTCTTTATGAACTACTTTTTTTAATTGATTTTTTATTTACATGTCAAATGTTGTCCTTCTTCCCAGTCTCCCCTCTGCAAATACCCCAAACTATCCCCCTCCCATTTGCCTCTAAGAGGGTACTCCCCCACCCACTCCTGTTTCACCCTTCTAGCATTCCTCTTCTCTGGGGCAACAAGCCTCCTCAGGACCAAGTGCCTCCCCTCCCATTGATGCCAGATAATTCTCTGCTACACATATAGCAGGACCCATGGACCTACCCATGTGTACTCTTTGGTTGGTGGTTTAGTCTTTGGGAGCTCTGAGGGATCTGGTTAGTTGATATTGTTTGAACTACTCTTCTTCTTCCTATTAAATCTAGTAAACTAGGGTTGGTGGGATATTTTTAATTAGGTATAAAAATAAAGTCCCACATTTTGAAATGGTACTTTTATTACATTTTTGTGAAATTACGGGTCTCTGATATGTTTAATGAATTTTATTAATATAGAAAATGCTATAGCCACAAACTTGTATAGTAAATCTATTTCAAGCAAATTTTAAGCTGCTTCTAATTTAAGATTTCCTTTGACATGGAATTTTCTATGATTTTGTCCCTAAAGCAGAATACAGTGGCATACTAGATTTAAAAGGAAATGCTTTAGTGTCTATCCTTCAGAAAACTGAATACCTGGGGGAATCTGGTTCATTGATTATATCTATTATATCTGGATTTTCCACTGTAGCCAATAATAAATAATTATGTGTATAGAAACACAACCAAAAGTTAGGACTTTGCTAATCTGACCTAAAACTTATTCTACTCTGATCATCTGGCATGATTTCTTTATAAATCTAATTTAACAGGATTAATGAATATGACTATGTCATACTTAAGCATGATATCATCTGACATGACAAAAGAACTATTTCTCAACTTTCTACAGTCCTTTCCATGATCCAGTTGTTACAGAGGGCGAGAAAACAAAGAAACTACATTTAGAAAGGGTAATCCAAGTGTATCTGAGTTGCCAGTTCCACGTTATTTCTTAAGGACACAAAAAATCCAAAAAGATCCTTCACAAGACAATAAAGACTATTTAAATCTTAGAAATTAATTTTAAAACTGATAAGTAAGTAATTATAATACTGATTCCTGAATATTACTAAAAGAAATACATAGATTAGATGCTGATAAATTATGTGAATGGATTCATTCATCCCATTCACAAATATATTTTCTCATCTAAAAATGGATATAGTACCATTGATCAGACACACACATACACACACACACACACACACACACACACATATATAATTTAATGGCAAAAGATAGATCATTTTTAACAGTATGTATTGAGAGATTGTTCTATTTAAAAATCAGAATTATTATTTTTATTTTATAGTATATTTTAAAGAAAAACATACAGGGTTACAAAAGAAAGTTCATAGAGCTGTTTTTGGATATATTCATATGTAATATACATTTACATATAGTATTGTAAGAAGGTAAATGCTTCTGACAAAGAATAATGTCCTTAATTATTCTTTAGTAACTAATAATAGTCAACAAACCAAAACTACTATCTATCTTTGGGTTTGGTTAGATCAACAATTACTAAAGTGTATTGCATGATAGATTAGTGAAAACAGTAAGAAGTTTCATAGAACAATATATACTTAAATATTTGAAAACTCTGAGTTAAACATATTAAGTATTATACCCCGCTCTGGGCTGGAACAGACACAGAGTTGGTCTGCTCCTGTCCTGTGGAGAAACTGAATCCTGAGTCATCCAGGAGCCACTGCACTCAGAGCAGCTG